CCCCCCTTCCCGCTGTCCCCGCCGCCCGCGCGTCCCTGCCCCGCAGGCTCAGCTCTCCCGGAGCGGGACGCGCGGTGCCGGTGCGGTCCACCCCGGGGAAGGTGGGAGGGCGCTGGGCGTCGCGGGCCCGGGGGAGAGGGACGGAGCGCCTCGCCGGGGCCGCCGCCTTTTCCGCACGCTCCTTCCTTCAGCAGCGACCTCAGGGACGAGGAGCAGAGCGGGCGACGCTCGAGAAGGCGGTGCTGAGCAGAAGGACAGGCGGGGCGGGAAGGGGAGCGCGCTGGTCTGGGGGCCGGGCCGCCATCGCAGTGGCTGGGGACAGCAGCCCCACCTGAGGCGGGAGGAGCCGGCGCTTTCTTGGAAGCACGGGGTGCGGGGGAGCGTGCGGAGGGCAGTGCAGGGGACTGGAGGGTCCAGGCTTGGCTCTAGATTCAGGGCACCCTGGGGCGCTTCGGAAGGGCTGTAGGGGCAAGTGTCAGGCGATTTTATGCGCGACCTGGCCAGTGACCTGGAGGATGTGGGGTGGGGTGGGACGGTGGGGGTCGTCCCGTCGCGTCGCGCCTGTGGAAGGCAGTCCTGAGAGGTGGTGGCACAGACCAGGTGCGCAGAGCAGCAGACAGCCCGGGAGGAGCTGGCAGGGGGCGCGGCCTCGGTGCTAGAGGGCCTGCCTCTTAGGTCCTTGCTTGGATGCCCCTGAGCTGCACTGTGCCTCAGTTTCCTGACCGGCAGTGTGGAGAACACCGCACTACCTCCCTGAGGAGTTTACCAGTTACTGTGTGCATCGGGTGGGGTACTTTTGAGCAGGGTGCTGAGGAAGCTGAGGCCCAGCATGGGGAACCTTGTTCCCTCCAGCTCTCTTGGACCTTGAGCGACGAAGGTGCTCCCTCACCCAAGGGTCTTGAGCAGGGCTGGGATGCAGTCAGACAAGGATGTGGGACAGCCTGCTGCTGCACTGAAGATGCTCCCCAGCGGGGCTCAGCCAGGGGCCGGGAGACTGGAGGGGAACCTTTTTTGATTCTATGGGCAATACCAGCCACCCGTCACTGGGCCCAATCTGGGGGGGGTGTCAGTGGTGACAATGGGTGATGCCGGCTGCCCCCCAACCTGTGCTCAGAGCCAGGAGCCTCCACCATGGCCTCCTGTGTTTGCTTCCTTATCTGGAAAAGTGGACACTGCCCTCCCACCCCAGCCTGAAGCTAAAGTCCACGAAATGCCACAGCCCCTTGCAACAACCACTCACCCATTTGGGGGTTATGCCTGGGAGGTGGACAGGGGAGGGCTGGTGAGCCCTGCTCGAGTCCAATGATGGTTTCTGAAAGACCATTCTGAGGGGGGCACCCTGGCATGTCACTGGTTGGGGGTATCCAGGAGTCAGGCTGTAGTGCCCAGCTGGCCCTCCTTGTGTACGTGCAGGATGGCCCTGGCTGGGGGGCCCCAGCACATCACCCTGGGCTCCTGCCCCTCTGAGCACCCCCCGCCACACACAGACCTCTCAGAGGGAAGTGCAGTCAGTGCCTGGGTGGGCTGGGGCGGGCCCCAGAGGAAGGAGCTGTCTGACTCAGAGCTACAGGAAGAGCCATGGCAGGCGGGGCGAGAGTCACCAACTGCCAGCCCAGGGAAGAGGTGGGTTCCTGGGTGGGGCTTAGGTTTAGGAGAGGATGTGACTGTAAGGTCAGGAAGCTACGGGTCTGAGTTCTGATTAAAACATACATAAACAAAGGCCAGGTCCTCAGCGTGCTTGGAGATGCATTCCAGGCAGCCGAGCTGCTGTGGACACTCTCCAGGGGCCATCTGAGGGAGAGTTTGCTCCCGAACCACACTTCAATGACCGCAATGACTGACATCTGCCCCCAGGAGGAAGGAGCCAGAACCAGGTGACTGTGCCCTCCCTGTTGCTCTGGGCAAGCCTGCGTCATCTGGTCTGTCCTTGAGCTGGCTGGCTGAGGGGAGGCCCACAGCAGGCAGGGCACATGGGTGCACCTGTGTGTGTGTGCATGAGTGTGCAAGAGGGAGAGCAGAGGCTGGGAGTGTGGCATCGGCGGCCAAGGGTGTGAGGAAAGTGCAGTGTGTGCTGTGGGGCGTGTGTGGGGTGCTCTGCAGGAGGTGTTGCAAGTGTGTGCTGGGAGGCCTGTGAGGTGTGTACATCCTGGGCCGTGTGCGGTGGTAGTGTAAGGTGTGTGTGCGCACATGGGCCAAGACTGGAACTCAGTGCAGGTGTGCGTG